ATGAAATATACATGAACATTAATTTTCACATACCTTATCCAGAGCAAGACGAGGCATTGGGGCTTGAACTATCCAATAGATCATTTTTATGGGTGGTACGAGCAGATATCAGGGAGTGAAAAGAAAAGGCATACCCAAAAAGGTTTCAGAACAGAGTGGCTGACCGTGGGAGGATGACGGGTTGGGCACTGCAGTGAGCAGTTCTGGGTCATCTGACAGGATTTTGAAAAGCGTCATCAATTGGGTGAAGTCATAGACAAAGATGTCGGAATGTCGGTAGTTTGGTCCTAGCGCACGAAACTCCACTCCCCCATGGACAACGGACAAGTTCAAGAGAAGATCGCGTGTTTTTTGAAGTTCGGGTTTATCGACAGATGATGGTTAAGTTCCCATTCCGTCGTTGATGGGTTGGACTGGTTGTAAGTGATAAATTACGAGCCCTTTGGGCTCGATGGCTTTTACAATCATTGAGCCTCTTTCTGCCAAATTCATCATTGGACTTAGACTGCTGATATTGGATGGAGCCCAAAGTTCATCATGGCCATGGAAGGGGGTTGTTTTTTTTGTTGTTGTTGTTATTATTATTTTTTTTTTTAACTCTAACCTGAAATTTGATTTGGAATCATAGCAACTTTAAATTTGAATAAAATTATTTTTTATTTTAAATAAAATTATTATATTTTGCTAATTAAAGAACGTGCATACATGCTTGGCTTAGGAAAATGAAATATTGATATTGTCAAGCCGGTGGTACAAACAGGGAGATAATTTAGTTGAACCGGACACCGTAGTACAATGATGGATAGTCCAAGCTCAAGAGGATGTATAATGCAAAATAATAAAATAATTATTATTTTTAATAAATATAAATAAATATTAATTATTGAAAGTAAAAAAATAATTAATTAAATTTTTTTATAAAATTTATATATAAATAAATTCTTATCTTTTATATATTTTAATCCTTAAATACAATACCTAATAAAACATGTCTCTTCTTTTAATGTATTTTCTTAAATAAAAATTTTCTTAAAAATTACATAATTATAATTTTATTCTATCCATATTTTATATATTTAAATTAAAAATTTAATTTAAAAGAAAATTAAAAAAAAAAAGATCTCAGCCATCGGATTAAAAAATCCAACGACTGTGAGAGTGACAGACAAGCATCCGCTCACATGCCTGCCAGGCTGCCAGCGGTGCAACGCAGTCAAATGTTGCAAACAAAAGGTTACCAAAAGGGACAAGCAAACGCTGTTAGGACCAGTCAATGTGGCAGCCAAAAGGGTCTAACACAACATCGTTTTGGCTTTTTTTTATGTACCTAAATATATTTGACCGTACTGTTTCAGTGCAGAAAATAAAATTGGCTTATATGAAATATTTTAATTGAGTAAATCTCTGTCTCTATTTTCTTTTAGAAAAATAGTGAAAAAAAATTCCATTATACATACTCGAAAGCT